TGAAGTAGAAGATTGGAAACTTTTCCTCAAACTTGTCATTTTCCTCACAATAGAACTGCTAGAAAGGGGCTTCTTTCTCATACAGATGTACTGAATTCAATTTCTTTGCATCTGCTTTACATGTGGCCCAGTGGATCTGTTTCCCCCAATGGTTCCCCCGTGCCTGCTCAGCAAGCCCAAGGCAGAGAGGAGTTTATTGGCCTGCAGGGGCTGTGATGTGCTTTACTGTATTTGGAATATTTAAATTTGGCTGAAATATCTTTAGGCTCCACACACAACAAAGCTTGACTCGAGCCTCTCAGTCCCCAGCATAACCCATGCAATTTCCATAGCAGTGCACCTTTAAAATAAAAGGAAATGCAGGAGCAATTTGGTTGGATTGTCTGAGCTGCAATGGTGTCAATATGCGTCTTTTCAAAACAGACCCAATTACAAAACTCTGTGGCCTAGTTTTGAAGAGATTATAAACCATTTAGGTTGACATTTTGTCAAGGAGAGATACAGATGTTTGCTCCAGGGGTGTGTTCTGTTTTTTTTTTCTGTAGTTTTTTGCTTCTTGTGGTAGTATCACAGAACATATTGCTGAACTTGTTCTCTTGTCATAGAATAAACAGGATTTGTGCAGTTGATGGACCTGCTACTGACAGTCACCATGTGGTCTTCACTGACACTAACAGCACAGGCACAAAGGCATTGGTATCAGTAAGCAGCAGGCTCTCTGGGTCCCACTGCTGCATGCACTCAACTGGAGGAGGCTCTTTTAAATCAAGACCCAGTATCCTGCTACTAGAGACAACCACGCTGTTTTTATAACGGGATCAAACATCACTTTGCAAACATCACTAGCTTTGTTCCTTCAAAGTTTTTAAACATGTGTTCATTCTTTTTTCCATTTGGCCTAGCTTTAGACATTTTAAAGGTCAAGCTGAAGCCTCGTCTCACCACACCAGTAGAAAAAGGCCTTTCCAGAGAGTTCATCTGATATGTTTTTGTCATCTGTTTTACAGTGACACTAACTGCCCTCTGGAGGTATTAGGTTCTCTCTGCTCCAGAGTGATGGGCTCACATTGAGACATCCAACTCAGGGACAGCTATGCGAATCTTAGAATAAAGAAAAAATGGAGCTACTTTACGTCTAGTGCTTGCACTTCTAAGCTAGCAGGTTTTGCTCAGAATGAAACTCTCTGGGGAATAATTAGAGAGGCTGGTCACTGCTCAGGACACAGCGACAGTAACCACAAGTAGGGTGACCAGGAGCTGACAATTAGCACCTGCACACAAGGTAGACAACCACAATTGTAGCTTTTGCAGTGTATCCAAGGTGCATTTTTTTCCTCCCTTGGTAAGACCTACACAGCGCCAGGTCCAGTGGCCTCAACGCAGTCTGTAGAAGGAGCAGAGCAAAGCCCAACCTGCATTGCAGCGGTCGGGTTCTTGGTGTCATAGCTTCAGATGCAGTATGCTCTGCAGCAAGTTCTTCTGTAGCTGCATAATGTATTTTAAGAACAGACTGCACAAATTAGGCATGTGCATGTTTTTTTCTAAAAGGTTTATTATAACTGTGTAAATGAAAGCCGACATTTTTCAACAGGGAGACAGATGTTATTTCTGTATGGCTGCTTGTTCCAAACAGTTCCCAACTGCAACTTATAGACATTTTGCTTTCCAAACACTTTTGATGTTGAGCTACAGTTAGGAAATTAAAAAGTCTAGAACTGCAACCAGCGGGAAGAGCACAGTGTGGTGTTTGCCTGCAGCAGGTTACTTACTACAAATTGTTATACTTCTCCAGTAAAATTTTACTGAGCTTTTTTTTATTATTATTATTTCTTTGAAAGTTTCTAAAAGCCCTTGATGACTTTGCAACAACCTTTCCTGATTTTTAAAGCACTAGATTTATTACCTGCCTTCTCACCAGTCAGTAATTTTTCACTACCAAATAAGTCAGTTTATGCTCTAACGTGGAGAAAGATGTAAAAATCTTCATTAATTTAAAAGTCAGGAAAAAAAAAACCATAAGTAAGATTGGAAAATATCTACAATCTTCATTGCAGATTTACTGCCCGATATGGTTTAAAATCAATTTATGTTCATCACATTTCTTACACTTCAAAGTTATAGTGCATCATTTAGATCTCAGATGATGATTAACAGTTTATACTAAACTGTAACATACTCTGCAATAAGTGCAATGTTAGCAGAAGGGAAAATGCCAAGAGAAGACTGAGACTTCAGTTTTTCAGTCTAAGCTGCGTATTAACTGTCCCTGTTGGTCTTTTGTGCTTCCTCAGCATGCTGCCTTTGGAGCCTTTGTGCTAGTTAAGAAAAAAAATAAAAAAATCTGTGGTGCTGGGCTGAGAATAGTATATTTGCAAAAAGGGAGTTCTTCTTTACTAACATTTTTTATACTTCCACTGTTTCTTTAGTCTTCTCTCTTTTCCTATCAGCTCTGTTTTCTTAGAAAAGTCATACCCTTACTCTTTACTGGTGTTTCTTTAGTGTAAATAAAAATAGATGACTCTTTGCTGTAGAGATTCTTCATCCATTTCCTGCACTGTTCAAGAACTGCAGTGCCCAAATATTAACAGGCATGGGGTCCCCAACAGCAACTTCTCCTTAAACCTGAAGGTATTCGCTACTGGATGTGTTGTGTCTTGCTTTAGACCAAAGACAGGAGCTGGTTGGTACTTAAGCCTTTTGTTGGTGTGCTACTTTCAACTTAGCTATTTCTTTAAAGAAAGATATTCAGGAAGAATGGGAGAGCAGAGAGACAGCAGGAGGCTAACAGATAAGTGCAGACTTTCTCAAGATTCTCTGTAGCGGTAATAAAAAAAATTACGGGATGGGAAGGTGAAGGATTCATGCAGTTCTGTTATTAACTTCCAGAACTGTTTATTTCTTGCTCTTAGTGAGCTCAAAAGTATTCTCCAAGAGTGACACAGTATTGATTATTAAATAGTACGCCAACTGACATCTATCACATCAGGCAACGGTCCTTGCTTGACGTTAGAAATCAAAGTGGGAATGTTATCTTCAGGAAAAGTAGCTGCCTTCTTACTTTTGCGCAACAAAAGAAGTACTTGATATGGAAGCTATTTATTTTATTTATGTTATTCTGAGTGTGGCTGTGTAAAGTTGTCGATACAGGTCCATTTTGGTTTAGATGGTGAAGAATGATCAGTCCTTCTGTAGGTGGAGAAAAAAAGCCAATTTGAGCAAGTTGGGTTATATTGCATTATGCTGTTATTATTGGGAGTTGGACTAGATGACTTCTAAATGTCCCTTCCGACTCTAAGGATTCTATGATTCGGTGTTTAATTTTATCATTCAAAACTTGCCACTCTTCCAGAAATCCAGAGGCTGTGAAAACTACTGTCACAGTGCACTTAGTCAAAGGCCCACAGCATGGCAGCTCTTGGAGAGCTCCAAAGAGGAGAGTGCACAGCCTCTGGGCAGCCTGTGCTGGTGCTTTATCACCTGCACAGTACAGAAGTGCTGCCTGGTGTTCAGAGGGAACCTCCTGTGTTCAGTTTATGCCCGTTGCCTCTGTCCTTGCTCTGGGCATCACTGAAAAAAGCCTGGATCCATCCTCTGTGAACCCTCCCTTGAAGTATTTATACACATTCATTAGGTCCCACAGAGTCTCCTCCAGGCTGAAGAGTCCCAGCTTCACAGCTCCTCCTCATGTAAAAGATGCTCCTGTCCCTTAAGTATCTTCATGATAGCATGTTGAACTCATTCCAGTTTGTCTCCACTTTGCTACAAGTCATCCAACTATAACTTAAGTGTATGCCAGTGGATTTGGCAAACAGTATTATGAAACTGATCTTTTCATTTATGTCTTCAAACTGTGATGGCACAAGGGTCAAATTAAGGGCCTTAACGCTTATTCAGAGTATGAATTCAAGCCTGTTTGCAGCCTTCCATCCAAAGACGCATACCAGTTTCTCACAGGAGCCTGGATATCTAATCTGGAGAGAAATCTGGATGATACTGTCATTTCCAGTGGCTGGTTGACTATCAATATTGACCAACCTTGATGACACTAACCCTTCTTCAGGGGGAAAGGGAGCTTTGGGATGAGCTTTCCTTATGTTTTCTTTACTCAGAGGGTGATGAGGCATTGGCACAGGCTGGCCAGGGAAGCTGTGGATGCCCCATCCCTGGAGATGTTCAAGGCCAGACTTGATGGGTTTCTGGGCAATCTAATATGGTTGGCAACCCTGTCCACAGCAGGGGAATTGAACCTAGATGATCTTTGAGGTCCCTTCCAATCCAAGTAATTCTATGATTCTGTGACAATATTAATTCACAAATGTGCAGTTTAAAAATGTGCACGTGAATACATATACATGCATACATATGTATATATATGTACAAAAAGGAATATGTTTGTTTTTTTTTTAAACGTTCATCGGATACGTGTACACCTGTGAGGGAATAATGGAAAACTAAAGATACAAGACGAAGCAATTTGCTGAGACTGTGTTTCTGTAAGAACAAAAGCCACACAAAGTTTTGCAGCCTCTCCCCTACCCATTCATTTTCTGGAGTTGCTTGCACCATTTGTATAGAGCATTAGCTAAGAATCTCAATTTTAGCAAATGCACCTGAAAAGATCCTCTGGATAAAGTTTTCTCATTTTGTCACTGAGGAATTATAATTTGTTGGTTAAATTTTGACTGTTCAGTAATATCACAGAAAGGAAAAAAAAAGTTACTACAATTTGTTTTCATTCAGATGAGGCATTAATTGATTCAGATGATAAAAATAGTTGAAATAAATAATCTCAGAAACCTTTCCTCCACCATCTTTTGACAAATTAATTCTAGATTAATAGACTTAAGTATTGCAAATGCTGAAAATATTTTGCTATTTTGATAATGTTGCATATAATAATGATTATTTTTCATCTTGAATCAATTTGCATGGCTTGTATTTGATATGGAAATTTTGCTTTCATTTTCTCATGATTTTCTCATTTCCTTAATTTTCGCTAGGAGAGAGGAACAGACGAAGAAGATGTCAGGTGGCTTTCAGTTATCTGCCTCAAAATGAGGATGAACTGGAATTAAAAGTCGGTGACATTATTGAAGTTGTGGGAGAGGTAAGAAGATTTTAAAAGAAATATATATATACAAATGCAGTTCTAGCATATCTTATGTGTGCTAAGCTTTTATGATCTTGTAGTATGTTTTAAAGACCTAATTTAAACCAGATGTTTTTCTTCTTTGAAACACTTACGTATCTGTTTCAGGTTACTATTTGGGGTGAAGGGATGTGGTTGTTTGCTTACGCATTTTGTAAGGTTTTCTTTTTCACTATAGCAATTCTGCTGATTTTTCTCAATCAGCTCTTGCTTCTCAGTTCAATGCAGGGAAAAAGCTCAAACATTGTGCCACAGGGCTATTGAGTTTCTACATTTGACAAACAAGGAGATAGCAGAAAAAGCTCTTCTCAGTTTTAGTAAGCCAGCCACTGAGAAAAAGTACCTTTACTGAGTTAAACATGTATTAGAAATGTACTTGAAGCCCTCTGGAGTTCAACCATGGCATTCATCTTCTGTCAGCTTTGCCTGCAAATTTCAGCAATTGCAGTTTTGTGCAATCAGCTCAAAAAATAATAACAACAATACAAATTCTTTAGAGAATCAAGATGTACTTACTCTGAGTGAAAGTGGATGTGGAAAATGAATGAATAGCTCTAAGAGATACCGGGAACAAATTGTGAATGTTTGGACAGAGATTCAGAAAGTTGCTGTGCTTGGGCTAATTTTATTGCTGGATCAAGGAATGCTGTTCGTTCTCCCTTTTTTGTTTCAGTAGAGATTTTAAAAATATGTTGTTGACCTGAATAATAGTACAAGAACCAAAAAAATGCTGATATGAAGCCCTTAAGTAGATTGGATTCAAAATCACCGTGAATAGATTTTTCGTCAACTCTGGTTTAGCAGCAATTTAGGATTTATTAATACTTCTACAATAAATCACAAGATTAGATTGTATGATTCTTAGTGGCTCCTAATCAGCACTTAATTATCGGCCAATTTAACACAGTAATCCAATGGAATTCACTACAATCAAATACAATGACTTAGTTAAATATTTGAGAATGGCAAGGTTCACATGAGGCTTATTTTGTAGAGTGTTGGAGAGGGCATTTTTCAACTCAGCTACTTCTTTGAGGATTTTCTTCCCCCTACTGACCTACTCACACTTTCCATTTACCAGCTCTCAGTGGACAATTGGGATCTGCCCCATAGAGGGCTCTTTTTCATTGGTGTCAGTCAAAAGTGAATCTCAAAATGCCTACCCTGAAACGTGTCCCAGCCAGATCAAGGATCACAGGCTGCTGCCAGTCTAAGAGCTCAAGGGGCTCTTTGATTAGTAACATTATTTATAGGACTGCGAGATAACTGATGTTAGTCAGAAAACTTCCTTCAGGCCACAATCCAACTGAGGCAATCCTGGAAATTTCTCCCAGCCATACAGTTCCAGTACTCCCAGATTGTACAGTCTTGGCTCCTCTCTGATCAGGCCGCGATTCAAGGAGCAGGAATTTCAGGTATAACAGGGAGTGCCTGAGTGTCCCAGCTCACTGCACTTACACAAAGGCAAAAACACTGTTGAGGCTTAGCTGGAGATGGCAGGTGTTCTGCACCACCGCAGGCCACGCCATGAGTAAAGTCAGCCTTTCTTTCCATCAGAGTGATGGTGTGGTCACCTCTTGTCTTTGTGCCTATAAATGGACAGTGCTTATTTCTTTATTTTTACATGACCAATTATATAAACTGAAAATGTAGGGGATGTAGAACACTTAAGGAAGTCCTTTCGGCAGCACAGCTTGTCTAGCCATTCTCCAGACCTTGATATGTAAAGCAATAGTTAACAACAAACAAAATATAACCAAAAGCAGTAAAATCACAATGAGATACAGCATTGTGTTTAGTGCTTCTGTTGTTGTAGAAGACCATCCAAGCAGGACTTCCCACCATCAATAATCTCCATCCTTCTTGATTCTTTGCAGCATCTGATAAATCTCTTCATGTGCAGCACAAACAGTTGGGGATGAAAGAGAAAATGTGTTATTTTTCCGAATTTGCTGTGACTTTAGAAAAACCACCCTGTGCTGCAACAGAAACTGAATGTTGATGCATTAATAATTCTGAATTAGGCAGTACAGGGACTGTGCAAAATGTACACACTGTACCTCTCTATTTTTACCAGGGTTGGGTTCAGTGTTTTAACAAAAGGAACAGGTACTGTGGTTTGAAACATCTAAACCAGAAATATTTTTCTTGACAATTTACGGTTGCAAAGCAAGTAGCCTGTATGTGATTCTCATCTGGGAGCCAGAAATTAATTTTAGCAGCTTAACACACAACACTTGCTCTGTTTACACTAATAATTTTAACTCTGCCATCAGAATCACACATTCAGCTTCACAGCTTCTGGTTGTGTTAACATTTCTGCTCTTGTATTTATGAAAAAGTCTTTTCCAGTAGTACTTAAGGACAAAGTAGAAGTAAATATATATATTTATTTTTATATATATATATATATATATATGTCATGCACACACACATATATATAAAAATATAGGGTATTATTACTTGTTTACTGATAAACTTTTGCTTGAACGAGCAGATCTAATGCCTTGTGACCACTATGCAGTCTTACTTGAGGTCTTGCAATTCTTCCCTTTGTTTTTGTGACTGTTCTTGTAGCTGTTAAACTTTAAAGATAATGATGACTCAGTTGTGTTCCTATCTTCTATTTCCATTTTTTGGTCTTGCTTCTTTTAAGTTTTGTTAACATCTAGATAGAAACCTAGCATTTTGCAAATATCTCCCTATCTCTATAGAACCACTTGCAGCATCCAGCTGCTTCTCTGCCTCTTTCCTATCATACCAGTCATTCCGGGTTCATTCTTCTTGGAAGCTGGGGTTCAGTTTCATACCATGCCTCTGTAAGTAATCAGTGATACTCTTTGCCATCCTGCCAACAATGCCAATTTGTACATACAGATTTTCAGTCAATTCTGGCTTAGCAGGAATTTAGGATTTATTATTTATTATTTTTTATGATAAATCGGGAGACCAAATTGTATGATTCCCAGTGGCACTTAATCAGCCAATTTAACACAGAAATCCAATGGGATTTCCTACAATCAAATACAGTGACTTACTTGAAGGCTCAAGAGTGGCAGATTTCACGTGTGACTTACTAAAGAGTATTGGAAGGATGTTTCTAAATTCAATTTCTAAACTTCAGGGCTTACCCCCACACCAGTGAACTACTCACCCTTCCCTTTTGCCAGCTCTTAGTGGATGATCAGGGTGTGCACCAAAGAGGGCTCTGCTTCGTTGATGTCTGTCAGCAATGAATCTCTAGATGCCAGATAGTGGTTCCAGTCCATGTAAGATCAAGGATCACAGCCTGCTGCCATCCTGAGAGCTGAAAGGGCTCTTTGCTTAAGACCATTATTTGTAGGACTGTGAGGCAACTGAGTCAGAAAACTTTCCATTCTGGCTGCAACCCAAGTGAGGCAACCCTGAAACTTCCACTCAACCATACAGTTCCAGTACTCCCAGATGGTACGGTCCTGATGCCTCTCAGGTCAGTCTAATATTCAGGGAACAAGGTCAGGGAGTGCCTGAATGTCCCAGCTCACTGCACTTGCACAAAGGCAAAAACATAGTGGATGCATACTCTGAGATCACAGAATGCCTAGGGGTCTGCACCACAATGCTTATTTAGTCCTAATTCACTTAGCTTTAAAGAGATGTGAAAGCTTAGTCTGCTCAAGCATCTGATAACAAGTGAGTTTAAGCTTGCAATGTTTATTTGTAAGATTTTTTTTTTCTCAGCAGCTGATAAGTCAATATTTTCTTGTGAAGGGTATGTAATTAGTTTTGTTCTTCCTGCTTCTGCCATTTTGGAAATCAGTTCTAAAAGAATATCAATTCTACTGCAGTCTTCAAGACATTGAGTATTTTCTGATGAGAAAGTAAATTGGCACGTCTGAATGTGAAGCTTGGTGTTCACTGTTTTCCCTTGAACCCAGCTGCACACACCAGCTCTGCACATTGCTCTCCTGGAACCAGGCACTGTGTCACTAACTAACCTTATTCTGCCTGTGAGCAGGATTGTAATGTAGAGTCTTGAGACTGTAAGATACTTAAGAGTGTATCTGAAGATAATATAAACCTGATGTTATAATGAGCTTCCTGGTAGCACATGAGCTCTTTTCATTATGCAATTTAAAGTGTGTTTGACCTCACATGGCCACACAAGCATCTTCCTTCAGTTGCCCTACTTAGAAGTTTTAAGTCTACGTCTTTCAAGAGTAAAGTAGTGGAATAAAAACCACTTCATCATATCCAACCTAGAATTATTTCTGAACAATTATTCATATGGTTAAATAATCTGTGTGAGATGCTAGATTTCTCTTAAGAAGTGCATCTCTAGTATTCTTAGAAATTTGAATAACCTAGCTGTAAATAACATTTCTTTAAAACCGGATCAGACTGCAAATATTTGTGTTGAGGGCTGTAGAAACATGGAAGTGAAACTTTTCTCTCCCTGTGTGTGCATGCTTGTAGTTAAGGGCAGGCATGATTTTGGGTTACTGATTACAGACTTGGCAGTCTTAAACAGATAACTGTGCCTTGAGTTGCTGCTATTGAGAAAAAACATGGACAATTTGCTCATTCTGAAGTTAAAGAAAATACACGTGTGAGGAGCAGCTGAGGCCCCTGTGTTTGCTCAGCGCAGAGCAGAGGAGCTGAGGGGCGGCCTGACGGCGGCTGCAGCTCCTCACAGGGAGCGGAGGGGCAGCGCTGAGCTCTGCTCTGTGTGACAGCGACAGGGCCCGAGGGAACGGCGTGGAGCTGCGTCAGGGGAGGGCAGCTGGGGGTTGAAACAGGCTGCCCAGGGCTGTGGGCACGGCCCCGAGTGCCGGAGTTCAAGGAGCGTCTGGACAGCGCTCTCAGACATTGGGTTTGATTTTGGGTGGTGCTGTGCTTTAGGCATCATCTGTCACGTTCATGCAACTCAGGACATTGGCTCTTTTAGGTAGAACTAGATCAACAAGTGGAAGAGGGAA